GGTGTGTATTTGATGATGTGGTTGAGAAAAGTGGAGTTAGGTCAAAAGTTAAGTTAAATGAAACGTGAATCAATCGAATGATTTCTGTTGAGAATATTCGGCAGAATTTTGGATTTTCAGTATAGGATATCGCTTCGTCTATTAGTTGGTTCTGAAATAGTTTATACAATATGTGAGTACCAAGATTTTGTAAACAATATTTCTCTATGGTTTTTGTAGTATACATGGTGTTCCTGTGGAATATTTGTGTTATTTTCATTGACATATTTTAGTTGTTTGATTATATTTTTCATCCTGTATGAGTGAGACAAGAAATGTCAATATATAAGTCAGTCAGAAAATTGGTGTCTTGTCACTGACGAAAATTTGTAAAAATCGTATATTCAAAGGCGAGATTTGTATAAACCAAAATATAACCGGAGTCCGATACACATGGTATGTCAGTATGTTACGACGAGCTCACTATCTTTATTTCGAGTATAAGCTGCAATAAATTTATAAAAATGTGCATGTTTATATTTGAGATTACACTCTCCTATAGTTTAATATATTTTCTACAATGCAGTGTTGCCGCTTCTACCGAAAAGTAGCAACAACTATGATATTTCAAATGGATTTCCCTGTATTTCATTGTATTTTTAGATTCTCCCTGAGAGCTGATTCTATCGATGTATCACATTTGGGGTCTAGCGGGGATGATTACAGAGATATATATATAGGGTGTTCAAATCGAGACTTTTCCAACTTGGGGATTTTTTTTGTCGGAACTATTCATTATGGTCAAACGGCTTTTATATCCCTGTATGAAATTAACTATCCACTAAAATTTAATTGGAACATATACAGGGTGGTTCAAGATTCAGAATTCTGGTCACCCTGTATCTATTCCAAATAAATGTCAGTAGATAGAAGATCATAATTTAAGATATAGGGATATAGAAGCCGTATTGACCGATAATGGAATACTCTCCACACAATAAAATTCTAAAGTTGAAAAATCAAATGCGATATATCGATGAGATCGGCTCTTCAGAGGCAATCTAAAAATACAATTAGATAACAAAGTTGCTGCTACTTTTCGATAGAAGCGGCAACACTGCATTGTCCATTAAAATGGTCAATGACGTCACAGTGTCACTATATTGATTTTGAAAAAAATGTCCCCTCTGTGCCGCCATTTCAAAAACAAATGTCGACTTGTGAGATGTCATAGGAAATAAATGAATTCTTGACCTGGGAACGGGAAGTAATTTTCAATTGTCCTATCAAGGAAAATATGGGTTCTGAGGAACTATAGATATATATATATATATCTACATATAATAACAACTTAATGACGTCCTGATGGCCAATGATTTCGTGGTCACTCTGTATACACCCGGTTTAGTTCAATCTAAATGAAGGCGCCGTTTTTCAGACGCCAAATGAAAAAACGACCCTGTATTCTTATTTGCTTATTCCTTATAGGTACTACTTATAGACTGTGTAATGATAATAACGCATATAAAGCATTAAGTACTCACCAAGAAATTTATTCGGGATGATAAAGAGAAATATGAATCAGTTGAATCAGTTTGCGAACGGCTTTCGATTGGTCAATAGTGAATATATACTTTTTTGTTTTGGATACCGGGTGTTGTGTGAGATAGTGCAGACTGTGATAATAAATATCGTGATTTGTAGGACACTTTTAATTCCAGAACTCTACATTTGTAATGCCATGCCAGATAGGCTGATGAAATAATTTATTCAGTCGAATATTCAGTCGACATTCATTGATGTGAGTGTATGGAATCACGTCAGGTGCCCTTACGAGGGGAGTGTATCAACTTTGGCGTTGGTAATGCCTCTCTACAAAAGAGGGTGTCGCCTTCAAAGAGTTAGGTATAGACAGTGGTTATATACCAGTTCTTTTCAAAATTATTCATCGTTGTTTCAATGAAGCAGTGCCCTTATAGAAGGGCGGACCCATGTATTCTTCCACACATCCGTATATTATAGTTATATGGCGCATTTAGAAAATCATAATACTGATTCATGTTTTTTTTTATAGGATATTCCATGAACAATGCAAACCATCGCAGATGTCTCAGAATCTCAGAACCTGTATTTGCAATAACTCCTTATTCGCATGTAGGACACTTCACTTCAGAACTCTACATTTGTAATGCCATACCTGATAAGCTACTGAAATATGAGGTTTTTGAGATAAGTTGCTATTATATCTTCAAAATTGTCAATCCTCAAATTCATTTAGTAGTAATATTTTTCTTCGAACATTTTTTCATGAAAAAACGACTTTTATTGATTCACTAAAAATTATTCATTTCAGTCGAATAATGGTCGACATTCATTAATGTGAATGTATGGAATCACGTCAGGTACCCTTACGAGGGGAGTGTATCAACTTTGGCGTTCGTAAAGCCTCTCTACAAAGGCGGGTGTCGCCTTCAAGAGTTAGGTATAAACAGTGGTTTTAAACCAGATTTTTTTTTTCCAAATTATTCATGTCCTACAAGAAAAGCAAGCAACAGTCGTTGTTTCAATGAAGCAGTGCCCTTAGAAGGGTTGGACTCATGTTTTCTTCCACATCTGTATATTATAGTCATATAGCGCAATCAGAAAATCATAATACTAATTCATGTTTTTTTTTTTAGGATATTCCAGGAACAATGCAAACCATCGAAGATGTCTCAGAATCTCAGAACCTGTATTTGCAAGATCTCCTTATTCGCTTGGAGGACACTTCACTTCAGAACTCTACATTTGTAATACCATACCAGATAGGCTATTGAAATATGGAGATTTTTGAGATAAGTTTCCATTACCTTCAAAATTGTCACTCCTCAAATTCATTTCGTAGTTCTATTCTTCTTCGAACATTCTTTCATGAAAAAACGACTTTTATCGATTCACTAAATTATTCATTTCTTCAGTCGAATAATGTATCGACATTCATTAATGTGAGTGTATGTAATCACGTCAGGTACCCTTACGAGGGGAGTGTATCAACTTTGGCTTCCGTAATGCCTCTTTACAAAGGAGGGTGTCGCCTTCAAGAGTTAGGTATAAACAGTGGTTTTATACCAGTTCTCTTCCAAATTATTCATGCCTTACAGGAAAGGAACAGTTGTCGTTTCAATGAAGCAGTGCCCTTACAAGGGTGGACTCATTTTCTTCTTCCACATCTGTATATTATAGTCAATTGGCGCAATTAGAAAATCATAATACTAATTCATAGTTTTTTTCAGGATATTCCCAGGAAAAATGCAAACCATGCAAACTTCAGAACTCTACATTTGTAATGCCATACCAGGTAAAGCTAATGGAATATGAAGATTTTTATCATAAGTTGACATTACATTCTAAATTGTCACTCCTCAAATTCATTTCATAGTTCTATTCTTCTTGGAGCATTATTTCATGAAAAAACGGCTTTGAAATAATCAGTATTTCTGCAGAACATATATTGGCAAATTAGAAAATATTTTTAATAATCATAATTAGAATGATTTGTAATTAGAAATCCGCCTCCGCCATGTTTAGGCAAAATCCGATGCTTTGAATGATTTGAACTTTGTTTCGGAAATAGCAGTGTTCCTCTGTGGTTCCGTTGTTTTTTCTCTTGCAGTATTATTTCTATTGGATCAAATATTTCTGCAGAGCATAATATTATGAGCTTTGGACCAACAACGATAGCGGCATGATGCCCCATGTCGCCTGAGCATGGAGTGGAGATGTGAGTAGAATTCTCAAAACTCTGAAGGCTTATTTTGACTGAGACATACGAGGATATCTAAAAGCAGAAAGAAGTATAAGTCGAGATACAACCGATAATACCACCTATAGTGAACACCTACCATAATACAAAAATTGGAATCGTGCAAGATGGTTATTATTTACCAATAGTTTGAAGCATGTATAGAGATTTTTGGATGCAGGGCCACGACAGGCCAGGAAAGTGACAGAAGTCTCTCCCTGTCATCTGTTGCGCCAGGGAGGTGAATATTTTCGAGAGATAATCTAAAGACACTAGCGTAACTAGCCATCAGAGCTGGGGAGGCCTAGAGAGGGCATGGTCAATTATAATGATGTGATCTAGGATATAGCCTATTTATGAATTATGTTATTGGAAATAAATCCACAATCGGGTGAGAGCTCTTTGAACTCGAAGAATATCACCTGCTCAATATGGTTCAGGATTTAAATACGTCCCCTAAAAGGTATAAAATCAAATGGTGTTTTCAATGGCTTCAAAGAATATTACATACTTACATTCACTCTCTGACTACACACAAAGTTTATAAAACTTCTTGGGAGTTTACTCTGTTGATATTTTATTTATTTTCTTCATTCCCTAAAACAAGCAACAAATTATTGCCTACCACAAATAGACAGAGGGCAGAAGGCCAAATAAATTCTCAATTCACAACCTACCCTTTGTCCTTTTTCACTATTTCACTGTACTTTGAGTACTGTCACTGTCACAGTAATAAAGCCTACTGAAGGGTGCCCTGAAAGACCTGGGAATCCCAGGGATCACAGGATGTAGAATGTTGTTATTATTATATCTTGTGAAATTCATTGATATTTCCAATGGTGAAATATAATATGATGAAATAGCTATATTTGATAGATATTTATTTGGAAAATTCTGGGGGGTGGAAAAGTCTGGGGGGGCAGCCCCCCCATAGTTACGCCAGTGGCTCAACTACCAATATATCTGTTCAGAATATATTACATCATGATATTTCAGAATGAAAATAAATAGACTTCAGCTATTACTGAGCTATTTCTGAGAAGAAAATGAAAATTGCATATAAATCAGAATAATATATCAGAATATAATTGGTTTAAGAAGGAATAACAAGTTGAATTACCACTGAACATCACACAAATTAGACCAATCCCATCTTTAAAAAATAATTCATCATGTTTTCAAATTTATATTTCCTTAGAAAAACTTGATTTAAAATATGAAAAGTGAATGCAAAAAAACACTACTTCTTAGCTTTTTTCTTCTCAGCTTCTTCCTCTTTTTCTTTCTCTATCTCGTTAACATACTTCTCAATGGTATCACCATCCAGCATCACCAAAGGCTCCCCATGTCGCATCACAGCTATTTCAAGGTTCTTCTGACCAGACTGTACAACCTCTAAAAGAGCCTTGATTGCTAGTTTCACAGTGCCTTTCTCAGTAGCTACTTCTTCTGGGGTATGAAACTTCTCTAGAAATTCTCTAACTGTTTTAGCTGAACGCCCTGTGGCATTTGCTTTCCACTCATAATAGATTCCTGAGGGTTCAGTCTGATAAAGATGTGGTTTACCATCATAATCAAATCCACCAATGAGACATGAAATACCAAAAGGTCTTCTACCATTACTCTGTGTGTATTTTTGCTTCAAAGATGCTATGTAACGTGTTATATATTCTAATGTAACAGGATCTTCTACCGTCAGTTTGTGGCTCTGGCATTCGATCTGAGCTCGATTTATCAATATTCTTGCATCAGCTGTAAGCCCTGCAAAGGCCATAACTACATGGTCGTCCAGAAGGCATATTTTTCTGACAGTGCGCTCCTCCTGCAGTTTAGCAACTGATTTTTTCTCCACACCAAGGACTACAGCATTGGCACCACGTACCCCAACCTGTAACAATTTCAAAATACACAAAAAGTGAAAAGTCATTGCCTATGAAGAGAAACAAGTTCTGTTTCTGAACTTACAGCAGTAGATCCTTTCCTTACAGCTTCTTGTGCATATTCTACTTGTAACAGATGTCCGTCTGGTGAAAATACTGTAATAGCTCTATCGTACCTAGCAGACATTTTTCAAATAATTATTGAAATAAAATGATTCAGCGGTACAACACAACCTAAAAAGCGCTTTGTAATTTAAGTTTGAGGTTTGACATGGGAATGACAACACTGACAAGGCTACAGTGACAAGACTGACAAGTGACAAATGAACTATCACAAACTGACAAGTGACTGCTGACAACTGGCAATTCGGTGCACACAATGATTTTGGTTGCGAAGAAGACTAAAAAGTCAATGTCATTCGTGGTCAAGTCACTTAATAGCAGAACATCTGAAGGGTATTTCGAGGGTATTTCCCATGCAGTAATGAATTTGTGCCTTCGAAGCGCCTACCTGGTTAGATATTTGTTATATCTAAATAATGGGAGACTGTACGAAAGCACCCTGGTGTCACGCACACTTTTCTTTTTCGAAAAGTGATCATAATGCCTCTTTCTTATTATATTGACTTTTTTCCCATTTTTTTCTCATTATAATGCATTTTTTCTAATTACAATAACATTTTTCTCATTATAATGACTTTTGTTCTCATAATGAGAAAAAAATCAATGTACTGAAGAAAAGGCATCATAAAGGGCGCCGTACATCATGCTATTTCTCGGCAAGTTTGAGGCAATGCAATTTTCTCGCAATTTCCTCAATTTATTGCAAGTCGCCGTACATTGAGATATTTTCTTGTTCATATTCACTATTTTCAGGTTTTTTGAGCCTTCAATGAGACGCATGCGCATTGTTCGATTCAAAATTGCATTGCATCGAAGTTGCTGGTACGGCGCCCTTAATGAGAAAAGAGTCATTATGATATTTATGATGAAAAAAGTCATTATAATGGGAAAAAAGTCATCGTGATGAAAAAAGAGTTATAATGAGAATTTCCATAACGAGAAAAAACTCATTATAATGCGGAAAAGTCATTATATAATGAGAAAAAAGTCATTATAATGACTTTTCCATAAAAAAGGAGAGTTTGGGTATTTACGAGTCTCAAAGCTCTCAAAAGACGTATTCTAGTAATGAGTGCTAACAATACCAAAACGCACCAGTGGAACGTGAGGTCAGGGTTGATAGAACTGATGAATATACTTCTTAATCTTGTGTCATTTGGCATCTACTTACGATGTCTTCGTCCCCGTCAATGTGAGAATTGGCCGTAAAGTTCCATATTGAGTGCAAAATAACATAAGCCGGCTCAAGTCTTTCGATAAGTTGATGTTTTCTATTGAAATATTCTACATCATTTTTCCGAATATTTTCGATATAATAGGCCGTAGCCTTAAAGGCTGTCCGGTAATGTGTTGGGATTTCTGACTTTGACACTGACCTCACGTTTCAGTAGCGCTAACTGGTGAGAGTGAAAATCTTAGCCTTCATTGATATCCAAGAGAGTTTCATGTCTGAATGTTGGATATTTTGTGTCCAAGTATGGTCCAATGAATATGGCAACACTGATAATATCTGTCATTGTCATTATTGCTGTCAAAACATAAAAGAAGAAGAAGAAGAAGTTCTTGACTTCTTGTTGAGTGTTTATGTTTATAATAAGAGCATTTCAAAATTTTTGAGTAAAAGTTGATTATTATATTATGAATTTCATGATTTTCAACCATAATCATGAACAAGATTGCACAGCAAGCGTTAAAATCTCTCTTGAAGATTCGACCGAATTTATCGGGATATCGCCAAAAAAATTTAGCATTGAAATATTACATCCCTTGCATCAAGTATTCGTATTCCTTATCAAAAATAAATAGCCCTCAATTCAGTTCCAATGCATCTTCATATCCTACCAGTTTAATAATTTGTCTCAGCTTATTGAGTTGGTTGGGATTCACTGAAGAAGATGAAGATAAAGAGTCTGAACTGATAATGACCCTTAAAAGGGCAGTATTATGTAAACAACAAGAAAAGTTTGACAAAGCAGAACAGATGCTGCATCTAGCACTTCGAATAGCCCAACAACAACAAAATGATCAAGGAGTTATTTATTGTTATGATTTAATGGCAAATTTAGCATTTGACCAAAACCAATTGGACAAAGCAGAAAAATTATTCAAATATGTTTTACAAATTCTACTGGGTAAGGGTGTGGAACAGGAAAGTCTTGAGGTTTGTTAAGTCTTTGTCCTTAAATTAAACCCTGAACCTTGCCCTGAACATTTGTGAATTTTAGGTTATTCACATAAGCTTGAAACTTGCAAGGATTTGTCAACTGAAAGCAGACTTAGATAAAGCTGAAATAGGTTACAAGTGGTGCCTAGAGCAGATAGGTAAACAAAAAGATGATAAAGTAGCTGCTAAGGTTCTATATGGAGTCATCAGTGATTGGTATGCACAGTTCTTACTAGACAAAGGTGATCTGAAAAATGCACTGATCTTTCTGAATGAGGCCCACAAGGCCTGTGTTCAAGCTGATGGTGAGCACTCTAGCCAAGTAGTATTGCTGTTGAATGATATGGGAATAACAAGTTTTCGAGCTGAAGATATGGTGAATGCTGAAAAGTTTCTGACAGAAGCCATAGAAATTGGGAAAAATCTGGAAGATAAATCACATTTAGGAGTTGTTCATGCAAATCTTGGGCTAGTATTATTACAGAAAGGGATTCTTGCAGAAGCACAGAAATTCTGCAAAGAAGCTTGGCAACTAGGTAGGTTCTAAACTTGGGCAAATGTTGATAGGTAAATATTGTAACTAAGATTTGATTTCAGGCAAGAGACATGAAAATATTGAATCTATGGAACAGGCAAATTATTGTCTGGACCAAATAAAGCTCAATATGGGAAAATGAGTTGTAGATAAATTGACTAAAGTACTTACCCAGGAACTCTCATGTGAGATATGTGAAAAAATGTTTAAATAGTGTAAACCTTGAGTATTGTTTCATTGGAATGTACTTGTGATCCATTTCAATTATAATTATATGTTACCAATTTAATCAATTTCTGAATAAACCCTCCTTCAATTTAACAGGATTAAAGGGAACTGTGTTGTGGAATGTGGACTGTGGAGCTGCAGATATGACACCTTCAGAGCAAATTTTCAACAATGTTGTCTCCACAACATGATTATATCATGTAAACAGTAGTTGCTAAAGGGACATGTTTCAGTAGCCTTAGAAAAAAATCTAGCAAAATAGTTCCATAATGTAAAAAACCAACAATAACAAACTAGACATATGGTAAAATGAGAGTTATACTACTGAGGGGAGGAAAAAACAAATACATCAAATCAGAAAAAATAGGAATTTCGTTTCGTGCGCTCCAAGCGATAAAAAAATGGAAAATGCCAAACACAATTTTGAATGAGTTTACAGTCAGTCCTATTATAATAATATAAGAATAGAATAGAATATGTGCTTTGGTCAAGTTGTTATTTTTCAAAGCTAATGATGCCCATGTTTATGTTGATGACCTGTTAACCCATTAACGCCGGAGTTATTTTTTCCTTTTTTTCTTGAATTTTATGGCAATTAACTAGTGTGAAATGCTTTCGTAAAGACGAGAAAGCTTTGAAGAATCGTAAATGGAATTCAGGTTTTCCAAAAATCTGCTGTTGCCATATGGCAACACTAGGCGCTTGTGATACGTGTTTTGGTCTTTGTCAGAATCCAGCTATTTTGCATGACTACGTCTAATACCCAAGTGATTAGGGGCCAGTACGAATTCCTATATGCGGTAATAACTAATATTTTGATCCATCTGATTGATCAATTTCGCCCATATACAAATAGTACCACTCGATTTCTTTCAAAAACAACGCATACCACCTGGTTTCTTCTGACAAGTGCTGAATACCTTCGTCGTTTCCCGTTCAGTCATCTAACTATTTGGCTCATCACATATTTTAATGGAAGTATTAGCAGAATTCCGAAGAAAAGATCGTCCGGCCAATGGTTCAACATCCATTGGCTCGGCCGGAGAGTCACCACATTCGCTGAGTATAAGCGCCTAGCGTTGCCAGAGGGCAACACGAATATTTGATGCAAATTTTCTACACAAAAAACATTCCTGCAATTTTTTTCAATATGTCACATATATAACTTGCATGTGCAACATAATTATGAAGACAAAACTCGCAGAATCAAATGCGTGAAAACAGGATGATACGTACACGATCGTGACGTCCATGTTTTACGTCAGTTCAAATGAGCTCAAAGTTTCACAAATTCAGGTGGTCGAAACAGCTTACTCACAACAAAGAAATGGCGGCATGTGCTTAACCGGTTCTTTTGCAAATCTGTCTCTTACCCTTATAGCTAAAAATTTTACTTTCAGGGAATTATTTAAATCTCCATCAGTCTATCGTTGCCATATGGCAACGCACGGCGCTAATGGGTCAAAATAAAACTATCAAGGTATTGCAGACTTATTCTTTATTGAAAAATATTTCAACAAAAAGTGTTTCACCAAATACATATAAGTATGAACAGAGTGAATTTGCAATACTGCAAATAATTCACTCTAAAATATCATTGTTTGTGATTGTAACATCTTAGTGACAATTCATATATTTTCTTCCTTTGGCTCCCTCCTTATTTTGGTAATTTGACACCCTGTTGGTTGTCACACCTTTACAGTGGAAAATTGACACTTTAGTAGTTCTTGTCATAATGATGTCAGAATATATATTAGAGTAAGTATATGTAAGTACTTCAAAATCACTCTGTACATAAAATATCTAATGAATGGTGTAAGATATAAATACAGAATATTTAAATAATTTAAATGGATCTGTTCAATATAAATATAAAAAATAAATTTACCTATTGAAGAATTCATACCATGTTTCAAATTTGATAAAATTGCTAACTTTAGGTCATTAGATCATTTGGAGCAACATCCATGACTGACGTCATTTAAGTCCATATGGGAAGGCTGGCTAGAATTCTAATTGATTAATTTTCAAGAATTTTGGATAATACATTTGCACATTATTTGACAAGAAATACACATTTGCAGTGGTGGAAAAATCAATTGGTGTATGTTACTGTACAATGAAGTTGTTATCAATCACCCAACACATATTGAATAGAGTTAATACTGAGATTGCAAGTATAGTATCAAATTTGAAACACCACCAGCAAAAACAATCTTATGTATTCAGTCTGTAATACATTATTGATAGTCAATTTATTCATATTCAGCAATGACTACCATCATACCAACTCCAGCCAGCATGGCTGCTACTTGGAGGAGGGTCTGAATGATGGTGGGCTTCTCTTCATCTAGTAATTCTGGAATAACCGACACTAGGGCAATGTAAATGAATCCTCCGGCGGTGAAAGGTAGGATCCAGGAGGCTGCCATGGCTCCAGAACTATTTTGTGCCATGAGAGATATAGCAGTACCTGAAATGGATGATATGTCCCCACAAAATGATTTCAATTCACATTTCTCAGTCAGGATTAATCAACGAAAGATGAAATTTAGCAAATGTTATCCTGAAAGATTATAACTAGTTTACTCTGAACACTCTGAACAAGCTTCAACTTGCTGATTATTCAGATATTCTTCTAGTAGAACTAGATAATTTGTAATTTGTTTTACTTCATTTTAGTATATAGTGTGCCAAAGATAAGGGAATATAAGCAACCATTCCTTGAAAACAAAACAATATACTGAGATTTTGGGAATGTCTTTTTGTTGAGGTAAACACATGGCAATGAGTACTTTGTAATTCTTTGGGTTACCAACATCTCCATGCTGTTATTGCTGTTCATCCTTATAATATGTAATGGATATGTACAGGATGGGCCAAATGGAACACTTCCAAATCTAAACTCAATGGTAAAAAGGTAAAAACCACATATTGATATTTCATCATTTCAGAGTTACATGGTATTTTGCAAAAAGAATGCATGTTTGAAAAGTGATGAAAATGAATATCCCTTGACACTGAAATCAGTCTTCATCCACCTATTTAGCTCAAACATAAGTTCCATTTAATTAATTAAATTATATGAATAAGATCTGTGCAAATTCAGTACCATTTTGATGAGACAATAATTGAGGAGTAAGTGCATTAGAGATTATTTATAATCTAAATTATTTTTGTACCATGATTTGGATTTGTCTGACCTAAATAATAAAGAAATGGTAGTGGCCCTTGATTCAACTATAACAAGGGAAAATGAAATTAACAGTCACTATGATCCCAGGATCAGTTGAAAAAGCCATGTACAATCATGCCAGGGTGTTCAGTTGAAGTTAGTTAGGAGCCACTAGAATCTGCTTTTCAGACTGATCATCCAATTTTTTTGATTGTTTACTTTTAGGCATATTCATTTTCCAAAGTTGAGGTATTATCCACTTGAAGATGATCACTAGGTATAGAACCATGAAAGGAATGATGAAATGAAGAAAAAAAGCTTGAATCTACTCATATAACAAGATTTGTGTAAGCACATTTAATTGAAAAAACAACCATTGATTACTAGTCATCAGAAACAAAGGTTGTGAATTTACCTGCTATTGCACCCAGAGCTGTCGTCAATTGAAGAAGCATGGCATTTTTTCTAGAGACACCAGATTGAACCAGAATTGCAAAATCCCCTATTTCATGAGGCACTTCATGTAGGAGTATGGTAATAGTAGTTACTATCCCTGAAATCAAACCAAGACAATAAATAATCATTTGACACAAAAGACCTGGTAGTTAGTTGTTAAGCTTGAATGCAAGAACATTATTATAAATATGTTTCCTTCTACCAGTTAGAAAAAGAACTAGCACATATCTTACCTATGGTATTTCCAGCTAAATATGAGGAACCAATGGCTAGACCATCAGTAAAATTATGGCTGAAGTCAGCTGCTAAATTCAGATAACCAGCAACTTTAATTTCTTTGACTTCTTCACTTGAAGCATCCTTATTGGATTTATCATCTTTCTTAGACTTCTCTCTATCATTGGATGCAACTGCATGAGAGTGACCATGCCCAACACTTCCTTTCAATATTCTTACACCTTTTTCAACAACCAAAAATACAACTATTCCAGCTAGGACCCACAGCCCCACAGACATGTTATGAGAATGCTCATGTCCCTCATGACCATGACTAGTGCCATGTGAATGAGAATGACTATGACTGTCTTCATCTACAGCCATAGCAGCATGAGGAATGAGATGAAGGAAGGCATCTCCTAAGAGCCCCCCTGAAGCAAAAGCCAACAGAATTTTGAGGAGAGGTTGACTGCTTTCAGTGTTATCTAATGGGACAAAGAAGAGAATGAAAAATGGAGCTGCACTTATCAACAATGTTGATCCCATTGCATGCAGCCATAATTCCTGCATAGTCAAAGGCTCCTGCTTAGGTTTGGTGGGTTGTTCATGATGTTCTCCTTTATGAAACTGTTCATTCACCGTCCGGGAATACTTGAATGAAGGTGGTTCCTCATGCGAGTGCCCATCATGATCATCGTGAGCGTGGCCATGGGCAAAAGAGGAACTCACAAACAATAGGAGGATCAAACAAATTTTTATCATTTTGAGACTTTGTTATCGTCCTTGGTAATCACACAGCAAACTACTTTTTACAAATTGATTAAATTAATAAAGCCATAAGTACATTTGTGTAGTTTATCATACCTTCAATCAAGATTCAATTTGAAAAGACATAAGTATCGAATATTAAGTAACTCCAATTCAATTTATGAATTCATATAAAAGTTATAAAACACAAAAGTCAAGAGGACTGTGGAGTGTGGTAGTACTGGTAGTCTTCTTCTTCTTCTTCTTCTTTCTTTTCAATGGCCTCTGTTCTGTAAGACAATTGGCCAGCACATTCCTTTTGATTTGTTTGGGCCACCCTTAAGGTGTGTCTGAGATTAACTCATACCCTGACTGATTTGAGACTTCCTATTGGGTTTGGAAATTCACAGTTTCAAAGTCCTCTTAGCTGTAAAACTTGGTTGACAATTATTACACACACAGATATAGACTTTGTACTGGTAGTCGTTGAGTCGGTTGATTGAATAAAACAGTGTTGCCAAATGGCAAATTGCAAATGCCATCCAGAAAATTATGATTACGAATGTCACCACCAAAATAGAGCATTGTCAGTGACGTCATATGACGTAAAATTGTCGGCCATTGAATAGCTGATGGGGGGACAGGCATGCACATTTTGCATAAGGGTACATGTAACTTTCTTGCACATTTACCACTAAAATACAATACCTGGAGCATTTATTTATTGACATGTTTGTTAATTCATTCATCAGGAATCCTATGAGAGAAGTGAATGAGTCCAAAGAAGAGTTCAAATTGGTTTGTTTGTCAATTTTAAATTACCGGATTTACTTGAGTTCAGCTCTAATATACCTAATATACCTCTTAATATACCTCACTAGATACTCATTTTGAAAGAAAATGTACACATTCTTATTGTATGATATCTACAAGTTCAATAAAATCACCAATGGGTCAGAAATAATGAAATCAAAATTCACACACAGCTTTGTTTGTCCCCCGATCAGCTGATGAAAACGACGAGTGCGCCATGTTGTGACGCCAGCAGACATTGCTCTATTGCGTGACACCTGTTAAATTTGATGACAAATATTAACAAAAATAATTTCTATGCGCAATACAGTATGAATTTTAGTAATATGAAAATATTTAGAACTAGTCCTATATTTTTACAAGAATGTTTGCAAATCTGCGCAAAATCAACACCTTTTTCACTGTGTGACACATAAAAAATATTTTTGTCATCATTTTCGTTAATATATTTGTCACACACCAGTCTATTTTGGACTTACAATTCCGATACCGATTGGCATTTTTAAAATAATTTCACAGCAAAGCATGCACTTTTATTATGTAAATATATAATATGTTTGCTGCTTAGCTGCATCTGTATGTATATATTAATCATTTACATACCCCTATATACTGTACACTGTCACGAAAACGTTATCTAGTACAACATGGGTAGGAAACATTTTATTTTCAATGATTTCTATTATTCAAAAGATTTGGGGAATCCCCGAAAAATTTTAATTTTTCTTCAGCGTACTAGAGCCCTCTACCCATACCTAGCACAACTTGCTTTGCAGTCCTGGCTCAACACTTCAATGCTAGCTGAACGAACATTGGTCACAGTAGAGAGAGCTTACAGATCCAGTAATCACACCTCTACTGTTGATACCATTGATGTTTCGTTATAATAATCTTTTCAAAGTTTGTTTCATGTCTGGATTTTGTCTGGATATCCTGAACTGATCTGGGTTGTATAGTGTTCATATTTCTTGTCACACGGCATCCACTGATCATACTCGTCAACCAAGTGATCAAGTGGTACGTGAGAGTTCAATTATTTATCGTTAAACTTAGAACTAGCACTGTCCTTCCATTTCTCGTCCAAAGGTCACTGAATGAAACGCACCCGAAAGAACCTAGTATTATGAACACCGACTGCACACTTCCATAACACTGGGTGAGGAGGACACTGGCGCCTGGCGCGATCTTCTCTTACGATCCGCTACTCATTCTATTAATGTCACACTGTCACACAGGAATTATTCATGTGAATCTGGCTCTGGCACAGAGTCTACAGACAGAAAGGAATTAATAATCGTCGCATTGGGGAAACGCTACCCAAGACTTTTGAAATCGTTGGAGCTAGAGCTATATAAGTGGCTCGTCTTTCCCAAAACAATCAATAGATGTTGAGACATTGGCAGAAATATATCCATGTATACAAATGACACCAGCTATAGTTTATGCAGAGCCAGTTGAACAGATCATCAAACTAATGTCGGGCCGAGCTACCGCATTCTTTGAACTTTCAAAGGGACTGATGAGTGACGGTTTGCGGTGATATGTTTTTCCAACGGACTGCAATGACGACTCATAGCCAATGATACTTATGTCACTCTAATACTTATTGGTCAAGACCAATGTCCCCTGACCATTGCCAGAAAATTCTACCGTTGTTCTTCTTAGAACTCTCCATTCGTATCGAGAACACTTTTGGGATAGGTTGCAATGTAACAGTCGTCAATTATGTCTTCTAGTCGAGAAATTCAATATTTTAATAGACTTTCATTCGACTGCTCAAGTCAGAATATTTATTATTTTTGTTAAATGTTTCAGTTATCACCACCCTGTATTGAGATATGTTTTTAGATCAAGTTGTAGTATAAAAATAATAATGAGTTGTCATATGTTATGAGATGAAATACAATTCCATTTATGAGCCATAGTTTTTATATAATATTCAATTCAGTCTAATAAACATATAAGCCACATTATAAGACAAACATTGGTGCCGAAACCAGGGACCTTGAAGAAATACCAGGAAAAGATAACGAAAAATCCGAAAAAGAAAATTTTGATTACGTTTGACAAGTAATTGAAAGTAGCAGTCAGAATTATAAAGGATGACGGAAAATAAATCAAAAAAATCATCAGTAAGTGATTTTCGAGGATTTTCTATGCCAGAAGCCACAAATACTAAGGAAATAGCAATAGACAAACCAGATGCCAAAAGTTTGACGAAAGCTGGATCATGTAGGACTAAGAGTTCCGATGGGAATTCAAGACGAAGTCTGAAAAGTCAAAGAGAAATTGCAAAAATTGAAATAGAATTCCTTGAGAAAAAGTTGCAATTAGAAGAGGAAATAATGCGACAGCGATTGAAATTTTTGAAAATGAATAGTGAAGGTGGGAAAAGTTCGGCCTCAGACGTAACAGTAGATGAAATTCAACATTCTCAAAGTGAAGCTAACATTCAAAAGTGGGTTAATGAGATACCAGATGATTCGAACAAAACACACCAAATGAATAAACCAGAAGATTTATCAGCGAATTCTATGAATGTTCAAAAAATCTTATTCAGACAGTCATCTGGTACCAAAGATTTACCATCTTTTACTGGGGATCCTATGGAATGGCCGACTTTCCTAGCATATTTTCAAGAAACTACAGAAGTTTGTGGATTTTCAAAACGGGAAAATATGTGTCGTCTACAAAAGGCTTTGAGGGGAAAAGCAAAAGAGAGTGTCCAATATTTGTTGAATTTTCCGGAGCAACTCGAAAAGGTGTTAGGAATATTGGAACGAAGATTTGGGAGACCCGAGCATATAATTGAAGAAATAACAAACAAAATAAAACAAATGCCTTATTTGAAAGAATATAACTTTGAGTCTTTGATCGATTATACAGATAAAATCATGAATTTGGTAGCAACAATTGAAAGTTTGGATTCAACGGGCCATCTTATGAATACTCAACTTCTGAATGAGTTGGTCACGAAACTACCTTCAAACATTAAACTACAATGGGGTATATATAGAAATTCCCATGACAATAGTGCAGATTTGAAAACATTTGCATCATGGCTGGAAGAAATAGCTAGTGGAGCAAGTTTTGTCTCAAGACCAAGATTTTATAATGAGAAGCCAGCAAATTTTAGAGGAAAAGGTGAAACAAGCTTGGTAACTGCAGAAAATAAGCCGAGAGAATGCATCTACTGCAAAAACAAAAAGCATAGCCATTCTATAACAAAATGTAAATATTTTTCTGATATATCATTGGATGAGAGATGGAATTGGGTGAAAACAAATAAAGTCTGCTTTGCCTGTCTAAGACCAAATCATCAAATACAGTTTTGTAAGCAAAAACGTGAATGTGGTGAAAATAGTTGCAAGAAATATCATCATCCCATATTACATACAAGTGATCCACTAAAATCAACAGACAATGCAGTCACAAATGTTATAAATAATGAACCCTGCTCATCAGGTACTAGTCAAACTTCAAGAAGGCAAGATCAAGAAACAAACTTTAATGCTACACAGTGGACCAACAAAAAGGTGCTGTTGAGAATTATTCCAGTTATTTTAAGAGGATTTGGTGGAAAACAAGTAGAAATTTATGCGTTGTTGGATGAAGCATCGACAGTAACACTTTTAGATGCAGAAATTGCTAGACAATTGGGTTTAAGTGGACCATTAAAACCATTACATTTGCGATGGACTAATAATATGTCAAATTACATGGACGAATCACAGATAGTATCAGTTGATATATCAGGCATTACACCAGGTTGCAAGAATTTCACTATGCATCAAGTCAGAACGGTGGAAAATCTCTCTTTACCTTCACAAACTATAAATATTGATAAATTATCTGAAAAATGGCCTTATATAAAGAATGTTTCGTTAAATTCAATGACAGATGCTACACCTACGTTACTAATCGGACAAGATAATTGGCCATTGACCATTCCTCGTAGTTATATCCATAAAAGATGGAATGATCCTGTCCTAACTAAGACTTGGTTGGGATGGATAATCCATGGGCAGATATATCCAAACGAGAGTGAAGATACAAAATATTATAGCTGCTTCATTTGCAATCCTGATGAAGATCAAGAAGACAGTTTGTACAATTTAGTTAAAAGGTCATTTGAAATAGAAGATATTGGTTTGACGGACAAGAAAACAGTATCAAGAGAAGATAAATATGCTGAAGAATTGCTAGAAACATCTACCAGAAGAATTAATGACACTGAATGGGAGACAGGACTTTTATGGAAGAATCCATCATTGAAGTTACCACCAAGTAAAGAAAATGCATTGAAAAGATTAGAATACGTAGAAAGGAGAATGAAGAAAGACAAGGAATTCGCAGAAACTTACAAGGAGAAGATAAACGACTATATTTCAAAAGGATACGCCAGAAAATTATCTACAGAGGAAGTTATGCAAAACAATGGTAGAATATGGTACTTACCTCACTTCGCGGTAGTTAATCCAAATAAACCTGGTAAGATAAGAACAGTTTTTGATGCCGCTGCTAAATCATGTTGTATTAGTCTAAATGAGAACTTATTGACCGGACCAGATTTATATAATTCTATACCAAAAATTTTATGGAAATTTAGAGCAAAAAAGATTGCGATTGCATTTAGTGCAGATATAAAAGAAATGTTTCTGAGAATAATTATTAGACAAGAAGATTTACCAGCACAAAGATTTTTATGGAGAGGACACTCAGAAGAAAAACCGGATCATCGGTTTTGTGAACTATTGGTCAGAAGAAAACACGAGCTTTGTGGCCATCTTGGACAGGAATATGTTCTTCATGAAGTTGAGCAAAATTATTGGATTTTGAATTGCCGAACACTCGTTAAAAAAGTGTTGAAAGTATGTATATTTTGTAAGAAGAAACGAAGCAAGAAGACAGAACATCCATTGATGGGGAGTTTACCTGAGGCGAGAGTAGCAGCATTTTATCGGCCGTTTACTCATACAGGCATGGATTACTTTGGGCCATTGGAAGTAACAGTGGGAAGACACCGGGAAAAAAGATATGGAGAAATTTTTACGTGCCTAACAACAAGAGCCGTTTATATCGAAGTTGCACAAACACTCAATACCAGTTCAACCATAATGGCAATTCAGAGGATGTCTGCGAGAAGAGGAACTCCTGTACATATATATTCTGACAATGGCACTAACCTGAGAGGAGCTGAAACGGAACTGAAGAAAGCGCTAGAAGAACTCGATAGAAAACAGATGAACGATTTACTGACAAACAGAAATATTACATGGCATTTCATACCACCAGCTTCACCGCACATGGGGGGAAGCTGGGAAAGATTGATACGCTCAATCAAGAAAGCATTTTATACAATTTTAAAAGAGAGAGCTCCAAGAGATGAAGTTTTAACGACACTTTTGATTGAAGCTGAGAATATAGTTAACAACAGACCACTCACCCATATCTCTATTGACCCTACAGATATGGAACCACTGACGCCTAATCATTTCCTGATAGGATCCAGTATGAACACTACATTACTAGGAACATTTGAAGATGATTTATGCTCAAAAAAACAATGGAGAGTTGCACAATCATTGACAAATATGTTATGGAAAAGATGGATAAGAGAATACTTGCCGACACTCTGCAAACGAACGAAGTGGCATAATCAAAACACAACAGATTTAGCTATTAACGATGTGGTAATACTGATGAATGACAATACTCCTCGAAATAGTTGGCCGATGGGTATGATATTGAGAACGTATCCTGGACGAGACGGAAGAGTACGCGTAGTCGATGTAAAGGTCAATTCTCAGATTTATAAAAGACCAGTTACAAAAATTATACCTTTAATCACTGCCGAAAACCAAACAGACAAAACGAAAATACAAGATGAAGAAGAATAGTATAATTATCATTATACGGGGGGGAGAATGTTAAATGTTTCAGTTATCACCACCCTGTATTGAGATATGTTTTTAGATCAAGTTGTAGTATAAAAATAATAATGAGTTGTCATATGTTATGAGATGAAATACAATTCCATTTATGAGCCATAGTTTTTATATAATATTCAATTCAGTCTAATAAACATATAAGCCACATTATAAGACAAACAATTTTTTCTTATGACAACATCATATCATAATACAGGGTAGGTAACTATATAAAAAAAATCATCATACACAGAATGTATTTTAAACATCTCTTGATCAGCTCAACAAATATCCTTAATTGGTGCAGAATCAAGTCTACAAAAAATTTCTGGCCGTGGGTTAAGCTGAATAATTGAAATGGCGAATCACTATCGGCCTCAACAGTAAATGCCTCCAATACAGTACTTTTCTCAGGGAGGACGGAAAATGTCCCTTTTTACGTAAGCATCCTGGTGTCTTTTTTAAGTCATTATAATGACTTTTTTCATTATATTGATTTTTCCCCATTAAAATGACTTTTCCCCCAATATAATGACTTGTTTTTCATTATATTGACTTTTTCCCCAATATAATGACTCTTTCTTCATTATAATTACTTTCTTCTCATTATTATGAAGAACTTTTTCATTATATGGAAAAAATGTCATTATAATGGGAAAAAAGTCAATAAATTGGGAAAAAAAGTCATTATAATGAGAAAAAACTCATTATGCGAAGAAAAAAGTCTTGAGGAAAACGTCATTATAATGAGAAGTCATTACTTTCATACCTTCTGCATATGAGGGGAGGATACTTTTTGTAAACAATCTGACCTTACTCGGCCTAAATGAACTTTCTTTCTGAAAAAAATATTTTTCAGAAAATCATTTGAGAAAATTGAATGAGAGAAAACCGTTCATTGCGGGCATTGAAGCCAGCGTGGAGCTTGAATATTCAAGCAACTACGCCACGCACCGCAAGTACCTGAAGATCGGTGTATGTGAGATGTTTATAAGTTGACATGATAGTCGCTGTGGTCGCGCTGTCGCTCTTCCACCGCAATTATTATTTCTTTCCTTCCTCCTGTCCTGTCTGTAAGCGCTAGTGGCTCTGGCAACATTGTAATTACAAAGCAAAAATTCAATTGACATTTTTGACATCCTGTTATTTTTGTCTTGTATTTTACTTTCTTGTCATTTCATTGGAAAGTTTCATCCATTATCCAGATTATTCTCAAAGTATTTTTTCCAATTTGGGGGAAAACATGGTTGTTACTGAGACTGACGTTGAGATGAAAAATGCAGATAGCCCTCCAGGTCTAGAAGCCGGGGACAGCAAACGGGACACTGACGTACAGAGTATCCTGGAAATACGTGAGCATGCAAGACAAATTGAAAAATCTGTAACAAGTAAAGAAAATCGATTCATTCTTCGAGTCCTTAGGTGCTTACCTAATACTAGAAGAAAGCTTAATGGTGTAGTCCTCAGGAGTCTCATTACCCAAATCTACCCACTAGCTGATAGAGAAGCTTTGTTTAACTTCATTGAGGAAGCAACTGGAGAAGTAGACAGCACACAAACAAGAGCCAGATCCGCCACTAAGTCCCCATTACCTGAAGTTGATGCCTACATAAATCTACTAATTCTTGTCCGTCTGATTGACACTAGCAAATTACAAGAAGCTGAAAGATGTTCACAGGCCCTCATGAACAAGATAACTAGTCAAAATAGACGTACTATTGATCATATTGCAGCTAAGTGCTACTTTTATCATTCACGAGTTGCTGAACTTTCTAATAAGCTTGACTCCATAAGAGCCTTCTTGCACTCAAGACTAAGAACAGCCACTCTAAGAAATGATTTTGAGGGACAAGCTGTATTGATAAACTGTTTATTAAGGAATTATCTTCACTATTCCTTGTATGACCAAGCAGATAAGCTAGTAAGCAAATGCGTTTTTCCAGAAACAGCTAGCAATAATGAGTGGGCAAGATTTTTATACTACTTGGGTAGAATCAAGGCAGCAAGATTAGAGTATAGTGTGGCACATAAACACCTTGTGCAAGCATTGAGAAAAGCACCACAAAGTGCTGCTATGGGATTTCGTCAGACTGTTCAAAAGCTGCTTGTTGTAGTAGAACTGTTGTTAGGAGATATTCCAGAGAGACAGATTTTCAGACAAGCCAGTATGAGGTGTTTTTTAGCACCTTATTTCCAACTCACTCAAGCTGTTCGCATGGGAAATTTGCAAAGATTTGGAGAGGTCTTGGAAAATTTTGGACCACAGTTCAGGACTGATCACACTTTCACCTTGATTCTCAGATTGCGTCACAATGTAATCAAAACTGCAATACGCTCAATTGGGTTATCTTATTCAAGAATTTCTCCTCAAGACATTGCCAAAAAGCTTGGCCTGGACTCTGCTGAAGATGCTGAATTCATTGTTGCAAAGGCTATAAGAGATGGAGTCATTGAAGCAACTTTGGATCCCCAAGGGGGCTACATGAGAAGCAAAGAAAGTACAGATATTTATTGTACTAAGGAGCCTCAGATGGCTTTCCATCAACGTATCTCCTTCTGCTTGGATTTACATAATCAAAGTGTTAAGGCAATGAGATACCCACCAAAAGCATATGGTAAAGAGTTGGAATCAGCAGAAGAACGCAGGGAAAGGGAGCAACAGGACTTAGAGTTAGCAAAGGAAATGGCTGAAGAAGATGATGATGGCTTTCCTTGAATTATTATTTAGTGAATTAATTATATCTCATAGTTACTCTTTTGTCTACATTGCATCAATATAAGTTTGCTGTGAATATTAGGGTGTTAGGTTTCATTTTTCTATTAACTTTCTATGTACCTCAATAAACTCTCCTATTGACTATCCTCACTTTATATTTTCCATTCTTCAAATCCTCTATTCAACAATGTATTATGATGTGGCATTATTTGTTCTATAACAATAAAATTATTTTTAATTTAAAAACTTCTGGGGGCTTCTAATGCTTTTAGTAGGTTGTGGCATCCAAAGAACATTCCCTCTTCAAATCAGCCAGCTGACCCGGAACCAATTTACCCCCTCCCCTGTATCTTCGTTGTTATTTGGAAGGGATGTTTCTAATTTGGTACATCAATTTGATTTCATGAGTGTATATTAATTTCCCTTGTATCAGACCACATAAGACACTTCCGGTTTGACCGGAAGTACATCCAACTTTTTAATTTCAAATACAAAGTATACATTATTTTCTCATGTTGGGGTCCAGAGGAACTCCTGTAGAACAATGGATTTGTATTATTTATTGTTCAGGACAATCTGGGAATTATAAACATGTAGCTGTTCTTTGTTTGAATTGTTTAAACTATCTCCAATTCTTCACCTGTTAATTGTTCACTGAACTAATAAAAATTTAATGATGTAAAAAAATTAACCAACTCAACCATCATCACTACCAACAGTGCCAATAACACTTTATGTCATTGACAAGTTTGACTACAGCTACAGCAAGCTGAATGCAATGTAGTCTGTGGACTTTTTCCATAGACAACAGTTTGTTTTCCCCCAGTTTGAAGTTCGTATTATGTAACTTAGATGTCGCCCACTTCGTGAATCTCGCGAATATATATATACCTCTCCACGATATGCCACAATCGTACTTTTAATCAACGATATACTCATAATATTGCGATTTTATAAAAAAATACTTTTTGTATTCCCCTCGTAACTTATAGGAACTTTATCTTGCGTCAAATTTTGCAGTTTCAGTAATAATTCTAGACCCATAGGTAAAATTCGATATTATAGCCAACTAATATGAAGTAGAAAGGTTCAATACAATTGTCAATATGTATAGCATGGAGTTATCTTCATTAAAACTAGATAGAATACATAAATTTGAAGTTTCTTCTTGCTTTGTATTTCAATATTTATTGGGATCTCCAATATGAACTTAAAAATATCTTTTGATAGCATTTTAAAAAAAATAGCTTGTTTGCATAAATTCCGTTACGAGGGAAATACAAAAATTATTTTTCATAAAATCTTGATGCATTTCTGGTCAAACCGGAAGTGTCAAATTTGGTCTGATACTAGCGAAATTATACACTCAATAAATGAAATCGTTGTACCAAATTTGAAACACCCATTCAAAATACCAACGAAGATACAGGGGCGTAAATTTTGGTTCCGTGTCACTCGGGATGTTTTAGTTTCAAATGAACAAAGTAACACAGGCAAGCAGTTCTTATCAGGAGTGAATTCATCTATTGCTATTATCATCTACAATTTTTCAACAATTCCAGATGAATCAGGGAACATTTAAATACAATATGTGGCCCCGTTTGGTACAAAAATTCAGGAACTAAGATATTTTTTGGAGGTTGTTAATTTAGGACCAGTTTACGAATACCTGCTACCATATTGACCAATGTGAAGTCTATGCAGTCAGTTGGAACAAGATATACCACCGCAGGCCGTCGGCCCCTTTGCAGGATCAGAGAGCGCAGCAGCAGGGTCCAACATTCCTTTGATGATCTGTTTCAACTGACTCGATCTGCATAGACTATACCAAAAATATAGAGATGCCTATAAAAAAAATCACATTTGGAGCTCGATAGTGGAAAAATTCAGCTATTTTCACGGACTCATTTTTTCTGCACATTTATTCAGTGCAGGGTCTAAACTCAAATAAGTATGCAGAATTGCAATAAAACTCATGTGTCCAAGTGTTATATTGTCTAATGAAAGGGCCTATTTACATAAGGAATCTTTATGCACAGTTTTTTGTGTTCGTTAAGGACTAAAATACAAATCTACTGCATTAGTATTGACTGAGGATGAAGACTATAATTTAAGAAGAGAAAAATTGTGCTGCATCAAAGTGAAGGTTTTCTAATTCATTTTGTAAGGTAAGGTGAAAATTTTCACTGCAATAGTTGAAACTGAACTGTTTACCCAAGTCACTAGGGATTAAATAAGTCACTTTATTTTATATTCAGAGGGATTCATCAAAGACACAACTTACCCCAAAACTACAAAATCCATATAAGCTTTCAAGATTCATAAAATGAAAATAATAAAAAGGATATAGTGTCAATGACTCTTAAGATTAGCTCATCATCTTTGTTTATATTGATTATTGATATTATTATGACAGATTGAAACAAGAGCAAATCAAAATAGCTGGCCCAGGAACCAATTTTCATTGAGATTTATTTTTATCATTCCAAAGAATTAGAACCATTGAAATACTGAAATAGGTACCAATAAATGAAAAGTCAGGAAAGATGAGGTATCAGTTGAGATGTTTTGTATGGAGAAAAAGAAAGGTACTTGAATTTTGAACAATTTATTAAATATAACATATAATATACAAGTAATATTATTTTTTGGCTCACGCTGCAAACAATGACAATGGTATAACAAAAAAATCAATCAGGTAGACTTTATACAATTAGTTACAATCTTTTTCCTCCTATAATACACTTTTAAAACAGTACGGTAACCGCCCAATCACTATAAAACCATTCGACTACGCACATCATTTATCCGCATCCGGCAACGTCGCCGCGAACTCCAGCTGATAAGACTTTTTCTCCGTGATCTCCTCGATGTTCTGGCCCCGACAGTCGCTGCCCACGTGACCGGCCGCCCCGCAATTGCAACACCCCGGCGGACTCCTGTGCTGGTAAGGGCTGGAATACATAAGGTGAACGTAAGGTATGGTATAGGTGGGAAAGGTGTCAAAGTTGGGATAGGGACCCGCGAAGGCGGGCCTGTATTGGTTGTAGGGGAACATGGACCTGTTAGGTGGCAGGGTGGAGAACGGCTGCGGGAACGTGTAAGGCACACTGCTGAACGTTGTGGGCGGGGCCTCCCCTCTACCGGGGCCGAGGGGCGTGTTTGAAGGCGTGCCGGGCGGAGTCTCGTTCGGACTGCTGTTGCTCGACGAGTTCGATTGGTGGAGCGAGTTGGCGGTATCGAGGTTCATCGCCTGCATCTGCTCGACGATGTACGGCCGGACTTTGCCGAGGAACGGCGGGAATAGGCAAACGCCGTTCGGCTTGCCGTCTGGCTTGGTGGGGAGGTGCTGGTGCTGCGGCCACAGGATGTCGCGCATGTGCTTATCTTCCAATGAGGCCAACTGAAACATTTCAATGGTATAATCACTTTGTCCCAGCTAAAATGTATGCTCCCGCACCATTCTTGAATGACTAACCGCACAAATTTAAATTTGGTCACCTCTGGTATATTTGGGGCTGCTGGTTCGAAATATTAATGTACAGGGTGTTCATTTCAGGACTTCCCACCCTAATTTTCTCGAAATGTGTGTATGTTTTTGAAAAATCCCGAGACACGTCAACTACATTTTCGAGGGGGACATGGTTCTAAAATATTTTCAGCCCCGCGGCGTTGCCGCTTCTAACGAAAAGAAGCAACAACTTTGTTATTTCAAATGGAACACCCTGTATTTTATTGCATTTTTAGATTCTCTCTGAAAAGCTGATTTCATCAATGTATCACACTTGGGGTCTAGCAGGAATGATTACAGAGATATAGGGTGTTCAAAATCGAGATTTTACAACTTTAGGATTTTTTTGAGTCGAAACTATTCATTATTGGTCAAAACGGCTTTCATGTTCCTATCTCAACTTTCGATTTACTATCTACTGACATTTATTTGAAACAAATACAGGGTGATCAAAAGTCTGAATCTTGAACCACCCTGTATTTGTTTCAAATAAATGTCAGTAGATAGTAAATCAAAAGTTGAGATAGGGACATAGAAGCCGTTTTGACCAATAATGAATAGTTTCGACTCAAAAAAATCCTAAAGTTGTAAAATCTCGATTTTGAACACCCTATATCTCTGTAATCATTCCTGCTAGACCCCAAGTGTGATACATTGATGAAATCAGATTTTCAGGGAGAATCTAAAAATGCAATAAAATATAGGGTGTTCCATTTGAAATAACAAAGTTGTTGCTTGTTTTCGTTAGAAGCGGCAACGCCGCGGGGCTGAAAATATTTTAGAACCATGTCCCCCTCGAAAATGTAGTTGACGTGTCTCGGGATTTTTCAAAAACATACACACATTTCGAGAAAATTAGGGTGGGAAGTCCTGAAATGAACACCCTATTATATCATGTGTACAATTTTATTTTCAGGTTTCCTACAAGATCATTGTTTGTTATCAACCATCGTTGACAATTCTCCACAAAAAAATTTACAATTTCATTTCTTGTCGACGGACATGAATTTTTTGCGAAAGTCAACTCGTTATACAGCATCGTATTCAGAAATGAAATCTCTATCAGAAAAATGAATAAAAAAATAAATGATCCCATTTGAAAAAAAAGTTGACAATCTCTGTCGTTAGTTGAAATTGAAAAAAATGTGTTAGTGCCACCTTGTATTATTTGATGTCATTTGATTTGCCTATTTGTTTCTTAAAATCAGATAATAAATATCGCTGCTATGGCTTGGGGCGTTTTTTGTCAGTCAGTCATTATATATTCCCGGGAAATAAGAATTCGCTAACGTTGTTAATCCAATTTCCGAATATGAAGAAAATAGCTAATTTGTAATTGTTTCGTTTACATCTAGCTCCGCGCAACCTGTACATAATATATACAGGGTGTTTCTTATTGATATGCTAATATTCAAGGGGCCACTTATTCGACCTATTTCAAGAATTAAACTTCATATGAACCTATCTCGTAAACGTCCTAAGTTTTGAGATACAGCGTGTCAATGTTGAAAATATGCATAGATTCTTTTTTGTCCACCCTGTATCTTCTCGTGATGGCAAAATTCAGTCTGCTATGTGACTGAATCGGTATGAAAATTTCAAAATGTTACGTAATTGATCTTCCGAATGGAGTTCTCAGACATCAAAATTTGAAGATTTCGTTTATCCGTTTTTTCTCTCAAACGAAGCGTTCTATCGAGTATATACAAGAGGATCTTCTTTGTACATAATTTCATAGCATTGTACAAAACTTGAAAATTTTCCGTCGTTGCTCACTTTCAAATAAAATATAAACAATACTATTCTCGTAACAGTTATTATGGAAAAACTGAATATTTTTCAAAACTTCATCACCCAGTATCTCAAAAGTCACGACTTTTAGGACATACGTTCGTATGGAGCTTGTATGGAGTTTTCTTCTTGAAATGAGTCAAAGTATGACTCCCTCAAATATAAGTCCCTGTATAATAATTATTTATAATTTGAATTTGGTCACCTGATTTATCTGATAATGAATCGGAATACGATGTGATAAAATTGGTGGCTACAGAACAGAGTTTGCCCCTGGATTGGCGTAATGAAAGTATTTTGTGCATATATGTTTACAGAACTTCAACCTATCAAAAGATGCTATCCCATTAGGAAAAAAACTGTTTCGGATCAATACCAATGTAGACCACCCAGTATATTCAAGATCGGAAAGTGCGCCTTCAAAAATTGAAATCGCGAATCCTAGTATCTTTCTAAATATTTTGGTTCGAGAGATATTGAATTTATTCGATTTGGCTCATCCACATTGTTCCATAAAATATCAAATGTTTAAATTTTTCCGTATAAGAAAACGACTCACAAGTATTGAGTAGGCATCTAGTCATTCATATATTGGTAAATACGAAATAGGATTCCAAATGTTCAGTTGTGTTCATTCATTTTCAACATTAGTATTCGAAGATGGCTTGGTTCCAGAAAACATTCAAAATAAATCATGTCAAATTTGAAGTAAAAATGGCAAAAGCAAAATGTCACAAATGCGAGGAAAAATGCGGCAAAGGAAAAGTGAACCCAGAAATCCTCCAGAAACTAGAAAGAGGATACAAAGATCTCTTGAAGTCCGATTCGAAGTCCCTCGTGAAAAAATACCTGACGTTAGACGTTTTTGACAAGCTGAAAATCAAAAAGACCTCGTTCGGTTCTTCTCTGCTGGACTGCATTCAATCAGGAATGGAGAACCCGGACTCAGGCATCGGAATATACGCAGCCGATCCAGAAACATATACGCTATTCGCCGATATATTCGATCCCATCATACAAGACTACCACGAAGGTTTCAAGAAATCAGACATTCACCCTCCTACAGACTGGGGGGCTATACAGAACGTCGGCAACGTCGATGCCAAAGGGGAATACGTGATATCGACGCGAATCCGATGCTGCCGATCCCTAGAAGGTTATCCCTTCAATCCCTGCCTCAAAGAGAACGAGTACAAAGAGATTGAAGCCAAAATGACGGACGCCCTATCAACCCTCACTGGCGAGCTGAAAGGGACCTACTACCCTCTCGAGGGCATGACCAAAGAAGTGCAACAGAAGCTCATCGATGACCACTTTCTATTCAAAGAAGGCGACAGATTCTTGCAGTCGGCTAACGCTTGTCGTTTCTGGCCCACTGGAAGAGGCATCTTCCACAACGAGAATAAGACCTTTTTGGTTTGGGTGAACGAGGAAGACCACGTCCGCATTATATCCCTTCAACAGGGTGGCAACCTAGGGGAAGTCTACCAGAGGTTCGTTTCGGGAGTTAAGGAACTGGAGAAGAAGCTGAAATTCATGAAGAACGAACGGTTCGGTTATCTGACCTTTTGTCCCACGAATCTGGGCACTACCATCAGAGCTTCGGTGCACATCAAGGTGCCCAAACTTGCCAAGGATATGAACAAGTTGAACGAGTTGGCGGATCGGTACCATTTGCAAGTGCGTGGTACCAGAGGGGAACATACGGTAGCCGAAGACGGGATTTATGATATATCTAATAAGCGCAGATTGGGACTCACCGAGTACGAAGTTATAAAGGAAATGTTCGATGGGATTGTGGAGATAATCAAACGCGAAAAAGCAGGATCCTAAAGATTGTCCGAACCTCGAAATTTGTGAATTTGAAGTGTGATTTCAGAAAGTAACAATAAAAAATTACTAAAATATCAGTAGTATTAAGTACTTCGTTGGTAGGTATGTAGCTTTTTGAAATGATATGTTCTGTGTGGGCTTTGTTACTAACACCATACGCCACCTTAGGAGCAGCACTGATAATTTGGAACGCAACCGTGAATCGTGCAGGATGTTCTGGAACTTGACAATATTCAATTCGTAAATCGTAAAAAACACCAATTCCTACCTCATTTCCCTTGGTTCTCACGATGTTCTCTGAACATTACAGGATATCCCTTTTCGTGGGAACCAGAACATAAAAAAAATGAAAAATTCTAATATAATAATGGGTGTAATTCAAAAATATTATTAGATTCCTATCAGATCAAAACTGATAGATTGCCGGGGTATTATAACAATAGGTATATTATTATATTATACTGACTGTGTGAGGTACAGGGTTGAGGTGAAGTAAGAGGGTGCTACCAACAAAAATTTTGAAAAATGAAGTAAGGTTATGATTTCGTGTTGATTTTATAGATTGATGATAAATTGAAGTGGGACAAACATATAAATGTTTTGAAGAAAAAAATATCTCCTATTATTGGAGCCCTGAGAAGATGTCCCAAGCTGAATAAAAAAGTTGCAAATATAATTCTATATTCTCATATACTCAGTCGTATTAACTATTTGATAAATGTTTGGGGATACTGTTCAAAAAACAATTTTAATAAAATATCTGCATTATATAAAAAGACATTGAAAGTACTGTATCGTTTACCATATGATACACCAACAAATCAATTATATAAAATAACTGAATCATTCTCATTAGAAGAAATGTTCAAAATCGAAAGACTGAAAATTACATACAATATCATAAATAAAAGATTGAAATCTAATTTTATTTTAACACGAAACAATGAAATTCATAATTATCAAACTAGACAACATGGTTTATTTCATCTTGATATCGCTAATACTTCTATAGGCCAAAAAAGATTCACCCACGCTGCTCTCTTGGAATATAACAAACTACCAGATAATATAAAAAATTGCAGAAATACAATAAAATTCAAATACCATCTTAAAAAATTTATCATTTCTGAACGAAATAGATGACTTTATTCAAATTGATTTTTGCTCACCAGTATGAAATGATTTGTCAAAATTTAATAATTAATGTTTTCAAATATTTTATTATTCATCAGTTTATTATAATTGTATAGTTTTAGGTATTATTGTTAACTATACTTCCTTATACCAGAACTTGATTCTGACTGGAAGTAACATTTTCAATAAATAAAATAAATAAATAAATAAATAAATAAATAAATCTACAAGTTTTCAAAAATGACTGCTACAAAATGTAGTGCGAAAACTGTGGGGGGATGATAGCATAAGTGGAAAATAGGTTAAATCAGTTCTCACTCGTTTCCTTAAAATATACATATCAGAAATCAGTGAATGAGTTTCTATCAGCAGCCAGAGAATTGAACACAAAAGTCCAATCTAAAACTTGATCAGTTCATCTTAATACAGATAGTTTCCAAAAGGAAAGGAAGAAAGTATGGATTCCATAAGAAGACGGTGAACTATATACTTCGACTAAGAAAAAGCCAAAATGCTCAGAGTGGAATGAAATGTAAAATAAATACTCAGAACATAAAAAAAGGGAACGAAACTGGTAGTTAACGAGAGAAAAACAACTACTTTCCTGGCTACACGCCACGCAGAACATTGAATTACATCCTCGCGAAATCTATGCAATGATTTGTATAGACGAATAAAATCGCATCTGTCCTCCTAATATCATTTTTCGGAAATGTGGGTGGTTCAATGGCTGTTGGCGAGCAGTGTATACACTGAAGATGACTCCACTTGGCCATATTGTGTATTTTCAGTATATCTCCCGCTCTTGCAAATTTCATAAACCTAACTCAGAAAGATACAGGGCTGCATTCATTAGTGGTGAAACACTATAGAGGGTGGCATTGATATGAGTGCAAGTATTTCAAACTGTATTTTAGATGTTGCCGTCTGATGATGGCCGTTGTGCCGAAACCGGTTACTGTTTAATTGACTAATTTTTACATAAAGTGTGGTCGACTGACTGAATTTTTTTTTTTCATTGATTATAACTTCATGTTCATTTCAACAAGTCCAGCAAGTTGAGTAAACACAAACGAACAGGCCTTACTATATTCTAAGGATGGCTATTCTGTTTTGCCCTCATGTAACGTCATCAGAAACGAATTTCAAGAATTCAAGACGGCGGTTATGCCGTCATCCTGTATACATATATATATATTTCTCACACAGCCTTTCACGAACTTTGAGAATTGTTCAGTCACCGACCACACTGAATTCTGGGATAACGTAAGCTCATACAGGGTGATAATGGATACAGGCAAATAAATATGTCTAACGTCAACACCCTGTATATCGAAAACTATAATACAAAACACACAAGTTCATATGAACCTTTTTCTTTATTTGTTCCCAATTGAAAAAGTCTTTTCCCAGTGGTTGAGTCAAATTTTGATGAAAATCATAGCTATTTCGAAACTTTCAATATGAAATAAAAACATAGTATGCCCAAAAAATTGGAATTATATTCTCCAACTTTGTGTAAACGTAGATTTTATGTTACTTTTTCAGCTGACACAAAAATTGAATCAGTTGAAAACTGTAGATTTCATAAGGATGCTTCGGTCTCATAGGAATATCTTTCATAAGTGTCCAATTTGTTCCACCCTGTACACGAAATTAGATTTCAAAATGAAATAATGCCTGATTAGTTTTCCGATTTTGTGATGTAACTTTGATGAAAATGCAGCAGTTATCCTGGAATATTTCAATGAATTGTGCACTATTTGATAAAGGCACCAAATTTGGCACAGATCAGGAACACTGATATAATATGATGATTAATTTTAATTTATCTCTTCGAGCGCACGAAAGGAAACTCTTATGATGTTCGAATAACATCGTGCGTTAATGCGTGAATGGTACACCTTGTATTTTTTCACATATTTAGACTTATGGCCATCTTGCCTGCACAACTTATTAGAATTATATCGACAAAATTATAATATGCAGATGTTGATGCCAATGTGCCAGTTGATCTTCGTTTTCAAAATATCCATGCAGAAGTATGCCTGAACTTCTATGATACTTCGACTATCGCTACGATGAAGTCATAATTCAAAGTTATCTTACAGGGTGATATATAATGAACTTTTTCATCTCTTGGAGTGCACGAAAGAAAATTCTTACAATGGTCGTGGAACACCGTCAGAGTTGATTATTTTGAACGGTTATAACTTCCTGGAGCAGCACGTTGGAAGAGCAGTATGAGGGCGAACATGTCTGGGGTCAGGCATTCGTTCCTGCACCAACACTACCATCACCAACCGACTGGGGTTGGATCAAGACCAGCGGTGTGTATAAACCTCTCTAGAAAACGCTACCCGAAGCATCCAATATCTGCAGGGAGATCATATAAAAAGACTATATGAACAGTGATTGCGACGGGGTGCTCTGATAACTGAAGTCGCAGTCTTTGAAAGCATGTTCTGAACTGGTAGTATACTAGAACTGTACAACAAATTTTCGATATTTTGTTTAAATTTTTTGATGATCATTTGTTCATTTGACCTTAATAAACCTTTCCCATCAATCTTTGAATCAATAGAAAAAAAAAATCGTCAATCTTGTAGCCCTGCATTTAAAAACCATCCAGTAGAGATCCGAACTTTTTTGCTTCAAAGACCCACCGATATTGTACTATATTCCCAAAAATATTTTATCCATCTCTTATTGAAGCTATAGAAATATTCCACGTTCAATTAACATTCACAAACATAGCAACCTTTATCAAACTTCTGATGTCTTTCGGGCGGCCATTTTGGAAATTGGCCACAAAGGCTGCCGGGGGGCAATTGGCCGACGGCTCCACATCCAAATCTGTTCATATTATATGGGTCCGACTCCGACTCTGTGCCAAATTGTGTGCATTTATCAAAAAGTGCACAATAGTTTAGATAATCTGTTGTATTATAACAGGAGAACATGAAATTCTTAATATGAGTACTGTTATTTTGAGATATCTTAATGATAAGTTAGTTTTGTTCACTATTTGTAATTTCAATTATACAACAGTCGATAATACTTCATGAATGATCTTATACCAGGAATTACTGTCTGATCATTCATGTCATTCCTACTAGAAAACTAATTATACTTTATATATTATTTGAATAAAATGTATCAATGAAGGAAATAATGTGATGCAATAACTGAAATAAAGAAATTAATAAAAAAATGAATAAAATCATACTGTTTAGCACATCATGTTTTTTAGAAGTGTATGATACTATTCCACTCCTCAGGGTGTTCTGGTACAATGCTTAGAAAAATATAATAAAATAGGGAGCATTACTCATGAAAAAAAAACAAAAACAGATAGGGAATGTTTAGTAGTGCCTTGATTTTTCTGATCAGTGCATAAAATCAATTAGGTACTTGAACATTGCTCAAGTTAAAGTTCAAATAACACTCAATCAAGCAATTTATATAATGTAATGAATCAATATCAAGCAAATAATAATAAAACACTCTCAAAACCCAACCTTCTAATTTTTTGGGATATCATATAACCCACAAACTTTATTAGCAGGTAAAGCCTTGTCAATTTGCTTTGGATAACTCAAATTGAGGTTGTTCATGATGTCGACAAATTCCTTCAAACTCTTGGTCAATCTAGGGTTCAACCTCTTCTCTTCCTCCACAGAAGTGACCATCATCCCTTTGTAATCATGAGCAGGATACAGCAATGTTGATTCGGGCAAAGTAAAAATCTTGCTATGCACACTCTGATACAGCACCTCAGGGCTGCCTTCTTGAAAATCAGTTCGGCCACACCCACGAATGAGTAGGGCATCACCAGTGAAAGCAATTCCCTCTTCGGCACAATAAAAGGAACAGCACCCATTCGTGTGGCCGGGGGTACTCAGAACTTTGAGTTTGCGATTTCCGAAACG